GGGTTGGACTGGGCTGATGACTGACTCTTGGTTTCTTTATCTGTGCAGCAAAGGAATAATTATGGGCTGTCTGTGCAAGAGGGTTAAATGGAATGTTGTGTGTAAATGTGAGGTCTGACCCAGGATGCACTGGGCTGCTATAAAAAAAATACTGTCGATCGAGTGGCTTCAGGAACAGAACTTCATTTTCTCCCACTCTGGAGGTCTGAGATCAGGATGCCTGCGTGGTCAGGTGCTGCTTAAGACCTTCTTCCTGGCACGCGCACACGCAGCTGCCTGCTTGCCACGTATTCTCAGGGCAGAGAAAGTGAGAGAGTAAAAGGAATCTCTCAGGTTTCTTGTTCTAAGGGCACTGATCCCGTCGTGAGGGCCCCGTCTTCACTATCTCCTCCAGATCGAATGCCCCCAGAAGGTCCCACCTTCTCACTCATCACACTGGGGGTTAGGGCTTTGAGTGTGTGACGGGCCACAAACATTTAGTTGAAACAGTCCAATCAGACATAGCAACTTGCCAGTGTTGTTTATGAAAACCTCTCAGAGGCCACCGTCTAGTGTGTGTCAGGCACGGTTTTTGCTGGGTACTGAGCAGCTGCCCCTGGTCCTTGAACCACCAGCTGCAGCATCACTGTGAGCCTGTGGGAAGTGCAGCAGCTCGGGCTCCCCCCCAAACCTCCTGCATCAGAACCCGCCCTGGACCAGGTCCCCAGGGCTCCAGAAACACATGCGGCTCGTGCAGTACCATCTGGGGGTTCGGAGAGGAGCAAGGCAGCCTCGCGGGCAAGCCGTTCCAATGCAGGGTTTATGCGATGGTATAGCGGTGGGGTGAGTCTCCGACCTAGACCAAGGAGTCAGGCAGACAGGGATCAAAACAGCAGCTTTATCGCTGATGGGACTCATGGTTTACATACATGTCCTTCTGACACTGGACCAGGGAAATAGACTTGATCATTGACCCACAAGTAGCATCTCCCCACAATGATAAGCGGTGGGGAAGGCATTCGCCTAAGGCAGAGGATCCAACCCCCTCCAAGATGGGAAGAGGGAGGGTCACCCTTAACCCTGCAGGGAGGTGCTAAAGAGCTTGACCTGAATTCAGGACGCACAGAGAAAATCAGATGTGACCGAATCTGCCGACCATGGGGTGGAGGATGAACCCAAAAGCACCACAGGAAATTAGGAAATTAGTGGGAACCCCTTAGCGGGAGGCTGGGGGAGACACTGTGAGAACGTGAACCTGAATGATAACCACAGGGATGGGAAGAAGGATGGGTTAAAACAGAAAGACCCCCCCAGGAAGGACTTAGCAACAAATTGGGTGAGGCCACAGATGAGTCCCGATCCACGTGTGAAACCTGGGGGGAGAATGGGGACAGCGAGCTGCTCCGAGACTCAGGCGGATGGGGGTGACGGTCAGTTAAATGCACAGCGCCAATCGATGCTCACATGCTCGTTTCCTCGAGTGCCTCCCCTCTGACACACTCTCGTGCCACGGCCGGGCCCTGCTCCCCTGCTCCAGTGCCCCTTTCCGGCCTCCATCAGGCTCCTACCTGCCTGTTCTTCCCCAATCCCATTCGCTTTCCCATCCTGCACGCCACCAACTGTCTCCTGACAGAGGTCCCCATGGCTCTCCTGTGGGCAAAGGTAATGCAGTCTTTTCAGTCCTCATCCTCACGGCCTTGGCCTTGGAGACACGCCTTTCCTCTCAAAGCCCCCATCTTCCTCTGGTGTCCAAGGCCCTATTTTCTCGTCCCCTCAGTTGTCCCCTCTCCTTCTGACCATCCCTTATGCTGATGACCTGAGTGAGACTCTGTCGGCCTTCCTCTGTCCTCGGGCGTATTCCCTAGACGGTCTGAAGCTCGGGCAGGTGTGTGAGGACCCTCAGCTACTCCAGACCCCTGCACCGGACCCCTGGCTGTCCCACCTGCACCTGCAGTTCCGTTCTGCACGTCCCAGCTGAAGCCAGCACCCTCCGCCACCCCTCCTTGTCTGGCCCCAACTGCTGTGGTCGGCGCCTGGGCTGCGAGCGGGGTCCTCGCCTGTGGCCTCCCCCTCCCCCTCCCCTCCCCCCTCCGTGTCTCCACCTCAGCAGACACTCCCGATGCCTGTCTGACCCCTGCAGCAGCCGTCTCCCCTCCCCTTCACCCACCCACTTCCGACAGGTTTCTTTTCCTAAGACATGTGTGAGCCCCGTTTCCCAGATTCCACGGCTCTGGCAGAGCCCGTTGCCCTCGGGTCGATGTTCGTGTGTCTTCAGGTTGTGGAGGCTGCGTGTGGCCTGTCCGTGCTCCGGTCTGCCCATGCTGGGTCACGTGTGAGCTGCCACTCCCCAGCCCGTCCCAAACCCACGCTCCGACTCTACCAGGGCTGACATGCGGACCTGTTTCCCAAGTTCAGGACTTTCTCAGGCTGATCCCTCAGCCCGGGGCGGTTCGCTAGGCCCTTCCTTCACCCTCCCAGCCACCTGGTCGAAGTCTGCCCCACCCCCAAGATTCAAATCAAGCATCACCTGGACTAGGAAGGCAGTCTTTCCAGAGCTCACCAGGTGGGGCCCTCCCCGTGGTGTCCCCCTCCCACCGTGAGTCAGCGGCCAGGACACCCAGGAGCCTAGCACCCTGCCTGGTAGACAGGAAGCATCAGAAGGGTGCCGCCAGGAGGAAGGTCAAATACTTCATATCTGGGGATGCCCTCAGGATGCTATTTGGGAGGACTGGAGGCAGGAAAAGAATAGACACCCATTTTACAGATTCACTATGAATCCAAAAGCCTCTCATCCAGACGGACCCCGACTGGCTCTTCAGATCTATGGATCGCCACAGAGAACTCGGGGACCTGACCCCTGGAGATCCGTGCTTTGCATGGTGCAGACTTTTGGGGACATTTTCTGATGGAGACTGAGGCAGGGAAGGGGGGCTAAACATGGAAGATGGGATCAGAGTCTAATGTTTCCCAACTCGACAAGGGACACCCATAAAAATACACAGCTGCGGTCAAAAAGGAACATAGCTCCCCATGCGTGCAGCCCCACGTGTGAACACACGTGTGCATGTGCACAGAGATGAAGATCTAAGCGACCTTGTCAAGTTTCCTGCATTCTCCAAGTATGAGGCTCCTTGCCCGTAAAACAAGGTTGCTGCGCGGACTGGATCCGGCCAGGCTTGCAGAAGAGTTTTGCGGTTGCCTGGCACAGAGCAGAATCCAGGGAGAGGGAGCGTGAGGACAGACGGGGAAGGGGAGAGGGAGCTGGAGGACATGCAGCCACAGCAGCCGCTGCTGCCAGCGGGGCAGGAGCACGCAGGCCTCCCCGCTGTCCCAGCTGAGGGTCCAGCACCTTTAACAACTCCTCGGGCAAATCACTTCAAATCTCTGCCGTTGCTGCTTCACCCAGGGACACCTGTCCCCTCCTGCCCCCTCCCTGCAGCTGACTGACCTGTGCCGTGCCGTGTATTCAGGACCACTGACACAAGACACACTAAGGGAACTGCCAACAGACCATATGCACACCTTTCCAAATCCACTCGCTTTCACCTTTTTAGGTTTAAAAAAAAAAATCTTGGCTTTTCTCTCAGAATCTCTGAAATAGTCGGCACGTGGGGAAAACACCTCTCTTTCACTCTGCTCCTCCTGTTTTTCACCCTTGGACCTTCTCGGGGTCTGGCCGAAAAGTTTCCCAGGACAGTGGGTTGGGCTGGTGGCTTCACCATACACTCAGCCACCTGGTGTGTTGCATTGGTGTGGACCCCGGCCCCGGACGCTGCCTGTTGCCCTGAACTTACTACACTCAGGGTGCATTTGTTCCTTTTTACCTTACCATTCATAATTCGTGCAAATGACTTTCCCTGCCCTGACTTTTAGGAAATCTTTACAGAGTCATTTTAGGTACACACCAGCCACAACCTTGGTTTTTCCAGACCGCTCCTCTGACACCACATTGGACCCCTTTGATCTTTCAGCACAGGGCAGCCCTTCTCAGAACCCCTTATTATTTTAGTTGCTTTTTTAGCTTTGGCAAAAATGTAAGACGAGGGAGCTGCCAATCTTGTTCCCCTGCCTATTTAAACAGCGTCTGGAAATCTGAAATAATTACCTCCTTTCTTCGTTTTAAAGGGTTTTAAAGGCATATCACACGAACATTATGCAGTGGGTTGAAAGCTTTGAATCTGCAGTATTTGAAATGCTCAGATTCTGAGGCGCTGAGAAATGGCGTTTCCCCTGGGTTGGTCACTGAGGGCTGGCCATTATCACCATGTCGGGCTGATGGCGTCATTTCCAATTCAGAACATGGCATGTAGATATTCAGGGGAAGGAGAAATAGCTTCCCTTGACTCTCCTTAGTGGATTTAGCTGTAACTGTACATGCAGCAGAGCAGACTAAGCAATTCATATTTGGAAGTTATCATCTGAGAGTTGTTGTTCAGTGATAATTGATATCATCTGTTATTTCAAGAATACGACATTCCGATACAACCCATCGGCCTGCCTAACAAAGGGAAAGGAAAAGCAAGCAGAGAAGGGAGATTTCTAAAATGCCCTATCGCTGCAAGCTGATGATGTAGTCTCTGTCCTATCGCGGATCTGTAAATGCCTTTGCATGACTCCACCTTGCCTTCTGAGTCATTCCTGCACCCTCCAAACGTGTTTGTAAAGTTCCCTAAATAAATCACAGGTGATTCTCTGAACGACCGGGGTCGGCAGTCGCCGGCAGTGAAAAACACTGGCTAAAGGCACATGAAATCACGTGCCTCGGTAACCGTTCATTTATAGTCGTTGATTTACTGTTTTAAGCAATTTCTGTGCCAAAGATGGACAACGTGCTATAAAAAATCTCTAGTCCTAAAAAAATGTGAGAGGAAATAAGCTAACAAGAAAACACTAGAGGGGGAATTTAGGTTTTATATTTGCATTTGCTGCAGTTAGAATGAAATCCACCATCGAGCAACTTGGTGTGTGCCAACAGCACAGCCATTCAATTATTTTTATTTTCTCCCTTTCTCTTCTTTCAGAATGTGTCCATGGGATGAATTCATCTAGAGAGGTTCACGGTATGTTAGACTCCCAATTATACTTCTATAAAATATGCTCATTGTATATATGCATGCAAGTGATTTGTTACGTATAACAAATATGGCCAAATATTTGGCCCTAAATAACATATGATATAAACTGGCCAAATAATGAAGGCTTTTTTTTTTTTTGCTGATTCAAAAATACTTAAAAGCTGTTTTCTGTATTGTAATTGTCCAACCACATAAAACATTCTCATGAACCCTTAAGTGCCAGCCTCAGTGCCGCGGTGCTCACCACAGGTCCAATCTGCTGGGATTCGATGACTCTGCATGACTCTGAAAAAAAGAGAACCAGGGCTTGGCTTCTGCATGTTACGACCCAGTTATTACCTCTGCTGTGGAAGTGGCCATGCCTTCTCTTTACGAGGGTAAAATGTTTACTAAGCATCCCTACATTTGCAGAAGGTTTTGAAATGTCCTCAGCTCTGCCACTCGGGAGCTGCACAGCTGAGTCAAACAGGCGAAGGGAAATGCACCCCAACCACAGTATCTCCTGGAGATAGTCACAGGGAGGGACACGCAGCCGGAGAACTGAGGAATTAGATTTCAAAAGGGAAACCACCCCAAAGGCGCTTCAGAAAAAGAAAAAAAATGTTTTATTAAATCCCAGTGCTGAAAACTGGATGGTGTGTGTGGCAGGTCCCTCACTGTGCACACAGGCACAAGGCGCTCTCCTGACGGTCTCTTCCCTGTGACTCCGGGACCAACTGCAGAACAGGGGCTCAGGACCACTAACAAAGTACGGTCTCTGATTTTTAGTTCCATGTAAATGGTACTGAACATAGAAAGCATTCTTTTAGAAATCGTAAATTTTTAGAATTGTAATTTTAGAAATATCTTGCTCACAGATGGATTTTGATTTTAAGAGACTGGTGAAAACTCAAATCCCAACTTTACCCGTATTTTGTTTCTGAGAGGGTTTTGAAAAGGAAAAATGTAAAATAGTTAGACCTTATCTGAGACCACCTATAGTTACACATTTAACCTAAAGTTGTGGAAGAAAAACCGTCGAAAAACCTGTTACTGTTTTCCAGGGAAATTACTTTCCCTTCAACTAACCAAACACTACTTTTAAAATTCACCGTGAGAACTTACATTCCATTCCTGTTATGAGCCTTTCTGAAATTTCCCCTGTGGAGCAAACTGGGAAGAATCTGTCATAGCGCATCTGCCCAGCACACCGCTTCTTTGCATTTTTATTTTGTATGATGGCGAAAGTAAGAGTCAAGATTACCCCAGGAGAACCCTGGGAGCGAACGCTGCGACGTCTCCTTTCCTTTCTCCCTTGGAGAGGCGGAGGAGGCACATTCTCTATCGCCGCCGAAAGGAGCGCTCTGGGTGGGAAGGATGTCTTCACTTCCTACACGATGTTACGGAATTTTATAAGCTCTGTAAAAAGCCCTTCACTCTTAAGGGGTTCCCGGTGCCCCTAAACTGAGTCCAATGCTGACTGCTTTCCATTCCTTTTAGTTCCTCCATAAGGAAGTTTGTTTCCAGCGTTCAGGTGTGCGCCGCGCAGCAGTAGCCTGCGCACGTCCCGGGAACCCCAAGTGCCCGGCGGGGTTTGGAATAAATCGGCAGAGGCTCTTCCTTGCTATTATCGTCCTCCTCGGCGTTGGAATTCGGGGTGTATTTATTGGTTGAGACTCTTGGCTAAGGAGCGCCCTTGAAAGGCAACACTTGGAGCATCTTTCGCTGAGCCTCCCCTCCTTCTCAGGAAGGGAACTTGAAGCCGGCGCAGCGGAGGCTGCTGCGGAGAACCGACCCACAGCCCCTCGCGGGGTTTAGGGTTTCAAACCGCCCAGCCCAGGAGGAGCCCTCTCCGACCTTTCCAAGGCACGGGGTCACCCCAGTCCGCTCTCTCCCCCTTATTGGATCCCTTTTTTTTATTTTTTTGCCTCCCCCGCACTCCTGAGCCGCACCCCGAGCCCGCGGGGGTCCCTGGGGATGCACCTGGCACTTAGTGGGTTCGGAGGGAAATTCATGGGATCCCAGACGATGAGTTTTTTTACTTGCCACTAAGTTGTTCCTGAGCGGGCAGTGGGGTTTGGTGACTGTGCAGTATCTGGAATAACTCGGCCCACATGTAGAGCGGACATTTGGGGGTCTTTATATTTCTTATGGGGCGTCTTCAAACTAATTTTTAAAGAAAAATACAAAGTCGTTTTCTGAGACCCCAGACCCAGTAAAACAAACAAATTGCAACTAGGCGCTCTCCGCTCCGGAGTGTCCCTGGTTTTTCAGGGAGGAGCAAGCGGACAGGTCCACCTGGGGAGAAGTGCGGCAGGCAGGAGGTTGTCGGGGACGCGCGCCTGAGAGTGGCCTACCGCCCTGGCCTGCAGAGGGGTTTCGGTAAAAGACCCCGATGAGGGCCGGTCGCGACAGCAGGGACCCCTGCCCGAGGATTCCTGCATCACCAGCTCCGACGCCGGAGCCGCGAAAATGGGACGCGACCGCTCAGTCTAGCTCTCTTGCGGGTTTCCCGTCGATTCTCCCCAAACCGAAGTTCTTAAAAGATCGACCCAAAGGCCTCGAGGAGGGCCGGCAGAACCCGGCGCCGTCGGGGGCGTTCCCGGGCGCACGGTGGCCGCCCAGTGTCCGGGCTGCGAGCGAGGGCTGCTGCTGCCCCCTGGCGTCCACTCACGGCCCCTGGCGCTGTCCTCCGCCCGCTCGGCGCGGCGAGCCAGGCCTAGCTGGTCCTGGGGCGAGAAGCAGCCACGGTCCCCACCTCGGTCAGGCCGGCCCCAGCGGCAGAGCTGAGCAGAGTGTGGGGAGGCAGCAGCACCCCCCTCTCCCGCCAGCCGCCCGTCCGCGGGGTGTGGGAGGAGGGGGTAAAGGCGGATGCAGGGGGGGGCCCGTGGGGGCTGGGTGAGGGACCCCATCTCCAAGGAGCTGAAGTTGAAGTTGAGGGTTCCTTGGGGCAGGTGGGGACGGGCTCCGAGTGAGCCCCCTAGCAGGAGGTGAGGGACCCCCGCAGAAGGGGAGGGACCCTGGGTCGCGGGGACAATGCTCCGGGGCGGGTCCCCTAGGTTACGCGCAAATGCCTGCGGCTTCGGGCACAACGGGAAGTTCCCGCCCGTTCGCAAAGCCGGGGTGGGTTCGGCACCGGAGCCGCGCGCGCAGGGGCGGGGAGAGGAGCCGGGCTGTTTCCGGGGTGCGGTAGGTTGGTCTGGGGCTCGGGCGACCCGGGCCCAGCAGGAGCTTTTGCCCCGCTGCCCCGAGGGCCGGAAGGGAGCCCAGCAGATGCTTTCAACTTTCTTTCCAGTAGCAAGTTCTTTGGGGTCTTTTCTGACTGGGAAACCCCTTGGCTGGCCGCAAAACACACAGCCGGAGCGAGGCGCGCTGCGTAATTTTAAGCTGCGGCCCAGACGTGGCGAAAACACTAATTAAAGAAAACAAGCCAAGAGAGAAAACTAAAAACACAAAAACCATGTTGAGGAGACCGAGAACCGTCTGGCCTCATTAAATGAATCAGCGCCACTCCGCCGCTGCCAACCCGGCCTTGGGGCCGCGCACAGCAACTCTCCGGCCGGGCCCTCGGCCCTCCGGTCCCATCGTGGTAGAATCGCACCCAGGCCGGGGAAGCGGAAATTTGGCTGTGGGCACTGGCGCAGAGGCTGGAGCTGCCTGGGGGCCCCACTCCAGGGAGCTCCGCGGTGGCCGCTTTATCTCTAAGGTGCGCGGGGCGTCTCCCTCTTGCTGGTCTCCGGGCTCGGCCGCTCCCAGCGCAGGTCCCCGCCCGAGTCCTCCGGGCCGGCCGACTTTTTCTTCTTCCTTCCACCTCCTTGGTCCCGGACCGCGGCCACCCGTGGCGCCGCTGCGCATTGCAACCCCAGGGACCACGGCAGCGCAACCCAGCGTAGGTGAAAAGCCGCAGGGCCGAGGTCTGCAGCGGGGCGGGGCCTCGGGGAGCGCGTGAGCCTTTGCGTGTGTGCTTGAACGCGGGTGCGCTGGGAGCGCGGGATGGCCGCGGTGGCCGCTGCCTCTCCATTCCGGCTGCGTACAGTAGCGCGCAGCGGCGGGGGGGGGGGGGGCGTGCGGGCCAAATCAGGAGCCCGCGGCGGCGAGCCGCGCCCTAGTTGATACCGGAAAGGCCTGTGATTGGCCCTCAGCCGCCCTATGCAAACGAGCTGAGGGAATGGAATTCCTCGGGCCGGGCTTACAGTAAAAGCACGTTCATTTCCAGGCACTCTCATTCATAGAGCCAGCGGGCGCAGGCGGGACGGGCGCCCCGCGGCCGGACCCTGCCACAGCACCACGCTGCCCGGCCTTGCGCCGGCAGGCACCTCTTCCCGGGGCTCCTGGGTACGCTAGAAGAAAGTCAACCTTTGCTGCTTCTCCTTGACCTGCGTTGGAGCTTCGATTTCCCCCCCTTTCTTTCTTACTTTTGAATGAACTGGTCTCTTGGCTGGATGGTTCAGCTTCTTTCCTGGCTGTGAACTTTTCCCCGGTTGTTTCCTTTGACAACTGCAGGAGAAAGCGCGCTGTGTTTCGAGGCGAGCCGCGAAGCTGCCTGTGCGTGGCAGTGTGCGTGGGAGTGTTTGCGTGGGTAACTCGAGCGGCCGCGTCTGTTTAGATCTGCGCTGCGGTGCCTCCTCGGAAGGCCCGCTCCACCTGCTGCGGTTACACGGTGATCGTGGGTATTGGCTCGTCCCGGTAGTTAACCAACCGGCGCTGGGGCGACGTTGGAGGAAGATCGTCTCGCTACTGCCCGAGTCTGAGCTGTGACTCACGGAGTCCGTGTAGACAGTGGCTGGCTTCGGGAGAGTGCTTGTCTGCGTGCGTGTGGCTCGGCTGCTGTTCAAGCTGCCACCAAACCACAGGACCAGCCACAAACTTAACCAACATCCCCAAACCCGAGTTCTCAGATGTGGAGAGCTGTACCCTGAGTGTCATCAGCTTGGACCTTTTTTTTTTTTTTTTTAAAGATTAGCTCTTCTTTGAAAAGCTGAATTTTATGAACTGAGCATTTTGCCAGAACTTAAGAGACCATGACAAGTATTTCTAGCCTAGCCCTTCTCCAACTACTGAAGCTGATTTCCAAGGCTACTTAAAAAAAAAAATCTGCAGTGAACATTAATGGATTTCTGTTGTGTTTAAATTCTCTACAGATTGTATTGTAAATATTTTATGAAGTAGAGCATATATATATTTATATGTGTGTGTATATGCACATACATTAGTAGTAGGACCTTTGGAAGTCGCAGTTCTTGCTTTTGAGGACTGAAGCCAGCTTTGCATAATCAAAGTGGCCATGGATGTGGAAGACAAACCTGTATTTTTTGTTGTGCTGGGACTTTAGACAAACTCACCTGGAAAAATTGACAGGAGACTGACTACTGGAACTTCCAAATTATGTGTTTGCTGGTCTTTTTCCTCTCCGCATAAATATTTTAGGAAGTGTATGGGAATTTTGCCTCCCGGAACTTTTGTAGCAGCCAAAGACTGAACTTAAAAACTCTCAAAGCAAGAATCAGAAGAAGATAGTCTGTCTCTCTTGGCCCTTGGCTTTGGATCCTGGTCGCCCACTTTTTAAAGCACTAAGCGGTCGGATGCGGGGATCCCTGCAGGGGTCTGAGGCCCATCGGTGTAACTAGAACTTTCTCCCTCCTGGACGGCTAGTAACTTAAGTCAGCGCCCTCCCCCAACCCCCCCCCCCCGCAGCAATAAAGGCCCCTGAACTTTTATGTTGGTCTCCCGGGAGCTGCTGGTTGAAGATCCGCGCTCCTGTCGCCGTCTGGTAGGAGCCGTTTGCAGAGTCCTAACTCAACCGGCTTGTTGTGATGCGTATCCCCGTAGATGCCAGCACGAGCCGCCGCTTCACGCCGCCTTCCACCGCGCTGAGCCCGGGCAAGATGAGCGAGGCGCTGCCGCTGGGCGCCCCGGACGCCGGCGCCGCCTTGGCGGGCAAGCTGAGGAGCGGGGACCGCAGCATGGTTGAGGTGCTGGCCGACCACCCGGGCGAGCTGGTGCGCACCGACAGCCCCAACTTCCTCTGCTCCGTGCTGCCCACGCACTGGCGCTGCAACAAGACTCTACCCATCGCTTTCAAGGTACTCGGCCCGGAGCGGGTGTCGGGAGGACGGGCGGAGGCCGGGGCGATCCGGGAGGCCGGCGGCCGGGCGGGCGGGTCCGGCCCCTAGCCCATCCCGAGGCGCTCGGGAGACTGGGGATGCTGCGTTGCCGTGGCGACCCCTTAAGGGACCCGCCTCGGCCCATCGGGGCTCCCTTCGGAGAGGCCTGCAGAACTCAGGGTGGCCCCAAAGACTTCCACGGAGGGCGGGCGGGGACGTCCCTCGCGGGGGTCTTTAGCTTTGAAGCAAAATAGGAGAGTGAAAGCCCGGCAGGGCCGGTACTGACTGCTCCCCAGGCTTCTCTCGCCACCGCTGGCCCGGCACCCAAACCATTCCGCCTCCTTTCGACGGAGCGTGGGGAAATAAAATACTTTTCCTACCTTCGGGTGGGTGGAATATACTGACGAGGAGAACTGTCAGGGTTCTCCTCCCCCCCGACCCCCGGTTTAACGCCCCGGTAGGAATCCGCTTGCCCGAGCTCACTGCGGGCTCAGTTAAGTTTGCAAAAGTTTTTGAAGCAAACCTCTAGCCTGACCCTACCCGAAGCCGCAGTATTGACTCCAGCTTCTTTGCCGGGAGCCCTTCCGAACATTATCGCTGGCTCACCGAGATTAAGCCCAGCCCTGGGCAGCGCCGGGCGGCCCGGCTGCCTTTCGGGCTCCCGGGTCTAATCCCCCAGGTCTGTGTCCGCCAAGGGCCGGGCGGCGGCGCGGACCAGGCAGCTCCAGCTGAGCCGCCCAAACCCCTGATTGTTGACCTCGCTTTCAGCTGCTTTTAAAAACCTTGGCCTTCAACGGGGATATATAAACAACCCGGGGAGTTTTTAAACAACCACGGCACCACTCTGGCAGCGGACAGCTGGAATTCAATTTCGGCCGTGGGGATTCTGCTCTTCTGTCTTGAGGTGGCGGGTGGGGGACGGTGGTGAAGGGTAAGCTTTTTAGTATAGTAGGTACCATCGCTTCCTTTTCATTTAAAGGGCTAAGACAGGCAGGTGAAAAAAAACCTGTAAAGACTGGCTACTCTTGTTTTTTGGTTTTTTTAATCTGATTAAATAATTGTCCCCTTTAAGGGGAGATCAATTTAATATAAGCTTTTTTATGGGTCCAGGCCTTGGCGGGACCTTGATCTACTTGCAAGGAGCAATGTTTACTCTTTTTTAAAAGTACTGTCAGTGTTCTTTATTTTCTAAGCCTGATATGCCTTCCAAACTTCGATTGTGATTTCTAAAACAAAACAAAATGTACAGTTAGCTGTGTCTCTAGAATTGCCTGCTGCTCCTCTGTTTTCTGAAAGCAAGAGGTTTGGAGGGGTGTGCAAGTGAAGATGAGGCGAACCAGCCGCTGGACTCTCCCCCTGCCCTTCCTCCACTTCTGTAGACCGGCTTCGGAGCCCATTTCCATTTGCTATCATTCTAATCCCTTTACAGGAGACTCAGGTCTCCATCAGTCCTGAGTCCCCTTGGGAGAAGGGACGTGACATCACTGGGCCCTGGGGTCACTTTCAGATAGATGGGAGGACACAGGCCGGTCATCAGCCAAAGGCTCAGTTAAACCCGAGGGCCCCTGGCCCACTAAGGGTTCTGTGGCTTCCTTTGGGGTAAGTCAAGTGGCTTCTGATGGGCCCTCCCATGCCCGGGAACCCATGCCCAGAACACTAAGTGCCAAATAAAGGCTCATCAGGAGTTAGGTGTAGTTTCTCAAGCCACCACATGAAAGTATTTATTTTCTTCTGAAAGAATGGGGGGAAAATCATATAAATCGCTTTTATGAGTCATTAGGGAGTTGTTGTTTTAGCAGAAATCTTAATAACCATAGAGGTTGCCTTTTAAAAATGACTTTCAACTATGTGCTCTTTTTAAAAAATCTCCTTTGTTTTACTGAGTGATGGTTTTTTGCAGGTTACTAAAAAAAAGATCAAGGGGGAGAGCTCTTGAAAAAAGTTTGTGGGTCTTGAGAACATTTGGGGGACAGGAAAGGCCAGCAGAGAAACCAGACCATTTGATTACCATCTGTCGTAGCCCCAGTCCCCACCAAGAGGGGCGTCTTCCTGAAGGGAACCTGCTCCCGAGAGAGCAGAGGGACTTCCCAAGAGGCTCCACCCGAGGAGGGCAGGGATGGGAGCAGCTGTGCTTCCGGGGGGCTGCACCCCGGCTACTCCAGGCGGCCCTGGCTCCTCGGCCACCCAGCCACCACCCAGTGAGGTGACTGGGTTAAAAATTGGATTTTGAAATGACTGCTTTAAAATTTGGATTTTTAAATAAGCCTCAGACAATCCCTTTAAGAAGTCAATCAGTTGAGAATTATTATGTTCCCAGTAACAAGGAGGGAAAATGGGAAACTGATAAAGTCTGATGATATTGATGGAAAGATTATTTAAGTCATTTAAGTCATTCTTTCAGAGTCTTCGAGAATTCTATGTGCAAATCCTCTGCTTTCAAGCTTTGAAACTAAAGGGAGATTAACATTATGAATTTTCCTTAAAATAGATTTAAAAATCATTCTAATTGCTTATCCTGGACCCCCAAAAGTGCCCCACGGTACACCTTTACTTTTTAAGAGAGGCGTATGGGACTGTTGAGGAAATCTTAAATTTGCTGCATGTTACCCATTATTTACAGAAGCAGCCTCAAAAGCCGTTGGGGCGCCTTAGTCTGTGTTTCGTAATACCGGTCCGTTTCTGCGCTGGCGCACCAGAATCCGAAGGCACAAAATAAACACGCCTTCAGCAAGTTCGGGGGCCTTGGATGCTGACGGCAAGGTTTTTTTTTTTTTTTTCACAAGAAAGAAACAAGTTATGTTTCTGTCGGGGAGCTGGTGGTGCTGAGCTTTGCTCCAAACGTCATCGCGGCTGCCTTCTGAGTTCCACTTCACAACCTTCTTTGAAACACTGGAAAATTAAGGGATTTGAAAGAAATGAATTGTAACTGTAATTTCAGCCTAATTAGAGTTGGTTTCAATGTCAGCACCAACTGCGAACAGGCCAGCCAAGAGCAGTGTGGGTAGGTCCCATACAGGAGGGCTGGTCTTGTGCCCAACTGACTTCCCGCTACTTCAGAAACAGAGAAGTAAAACAAAATGTGAGATACCCTTTGGCCTGCAAGTCCCTTCTTGCCCGTTTGGCCTGTTCTGAAATGAAAATGTTTGTGTTTCTTCACCTTTTGTTTATAGTTTTCCATTCCAGTTGCTTTTTTTCCTTTCTGTTTAAAGTTAGATTTTTAGGTTCTCCTTGGATTGTTTGTCAATGATAAAAATCCTTCAAATTAACAGGCATGTCAATTTTAAATTAAAAAACATTTTTTTCACCTAAATGTGCTTGTTAATCATTAGATGGTATACATTATCTAAATGAATGTGATTTTCCTGGACTTAATGTTCTTCTTCCCCATGTGAAAAATAAAAAATCCCTCCAAGATCAATAAAAAGCTAGTCAATGCTTTTTGAGCACCCAAATATCTTTGATTCCTGCTGCATTTTTAAAAAATAAACAGAGAGGCAGGAGTTAAACTCCTACATTTTTAAGTCTCAAATTCCAACCTTGACAATCTTTTCCTGTTTGGCTGCCATGATCACTGTGCCCTACGTCTGTTTCCACTTGGAGAAGCGTCCGTGAACTTGCACCATCACCCCGCAGGGTGCTTTTGGGAAGACAAGCCAGGCCCGGGCAGGGAGCACCGGGAGAGGAGCAGCGAGTGGGAGGAAGGTGGCTGGAATACGCCGGGGTAGTTATAAAACAAGAGTTATTTACTTTACCCTCTTCACATGAGTGGTTCGGTTTGAAAGCCATGTGGCTGGTCCTTCCTAGGGGCTGCATTAAGATCGAGAGGCTGGGCCATCGCAGGAAGATGGAGATGAGGAAGTAAAAATATGTGTTCAAGGGGGACATTTCGACACTGTGAGCTAATTTTACAAAGGGAACTGAAAATAGTGAAAAAAAAAGTGGAAAAAATTTTAAGAGTCTGAATTTTTGAAGAGCAGAGTAAAGCAAGCAGATTTTGTGGGAACAGGAGTAACGGCAACAGCAACGACATAACCGATCAGGGCAATTTATTTGAGGGGTGTTTGTGAAACAAAAGGGAATTGTCTTTTTACTGCCCTTAATTAAACAGCAACAACACACTTATAATGGGAACTAAATACCTAATTAGAGGGTGCTTGAGGAATAAATAGCTGTGTTTTTAAATTTCCTTTATTTAAAAAAAAAAAAAAAACATGTCCAACAGTCGGATGGAAAGGATTAGAAAGAAACACAGGTGACTAGACAGTGCAAACTGGGCAAAGAGGTGAGGAAGTGCCGGCCACTGCCTGCGAGTCCAGGCTCCCAGAACCTGCCCGCCCCTCGGAGCAGGCTGGCTCTCTTGTTGCCCTACTGTGCGGAACCCCAGAGCAGAAGCACCATTGATGAATCAGAACAGCAAGTGGTCGGGCATGTGGCAGGTATGGGGACTGAACAGGCCAGGAAGGCGGGATGTTGAAAAGCACGGCTTTGCTTTCATGGAAGCCAGCCTGTGGCGGTCCTGTTTGCAGACAGAACAGAGGGACTGAGAATACAGGGACTGGCCACAAACTTAGGCAGCAAGTAGGAGGTAAAAACTGGGAGGCAGAAAGCAGGGGAAGAGGTAGTCACTGTAGAATGCTTTGCTATCCTAACTCAAAACCCAAACCAGAATCTGTATATATTATATCACTGGAGTGAATAGCACAGATTTCATGACTGATGAGAAGGTACTGTGAGAAAAAAAAAAAAGAAATAATAAGAACAAGTAAAACAGGGGACATTTTGACTTGAAATTCTGTGATCACTTGAAAAAATAGAAGCAATGGAAATGTAGCTCATGATAAATCTCTAGACCAAGGAAACTGTTTCTAGAAGGGTCAAATGATGACCAAGAAATGGATACTCGTCCACAAAGCACCTTTGTGTCATCCTCTTTAGGGTATTTTACTTTGAAATGACTCGCTCTAGGATTACTTGAGCATCAAAAATATGTATCTACCAGTTTTCTTCAATAGCCTTGATAGGAGATCCATTTTGGTTTGGTTCCATTAAAGGAGTTCCCCTTCCAGATCAGCAGGGTTGGAGGCAACCTTAGGGATCTGTTAGGACGTAGTGAACACACCTCTGGGACTCCCAGGCCCCCCAAGCCTGCATCATCCCCTGCTGAATTCACAGGGGCACAGGGCATCGAGCCCTCTTCCTCCGAGGCCTGCCAGTTTCGTCATGCATAAGCAGCACAGGACACATTTCTGGTTTTTTCCCTGGTGTGCCAGGGTTCACCGCTGGTGAAAATCAAGACCGCAGACAGGAGGAGGAGTTTCGAAGGTGGAACTGCAAAGGGGCAGTGTCTGTCAGTCAGTCCAGAATCGTCAGCAGCCGGTTGTAATGGTCACATGTAGTTTTAGTGGAAGTAAGGTGAAGCATCTAAAAGTCAAGTTGGCCCTTTCAGGCCTGTCGTGGGAGGTCTGGACCAGGGGAAGTGGGTTGTAAACTGGCAGAAACACTGTGTTTTTCACACTTGAAGAGTTGAGAAGAGACCAGTGTGTGTGAGAAAGCACGGTGTTTCCAGGTCCTCTTTGTAGTTAGTCTGGCCCCAGCTTAGCTGTGTGACCTCAGTGGCTCCCAGGTGATGATGGCTTGGTGGTTTGAAAGTTTATATCTAGCTATGCATAATGGAATTACAAGTAAATCTTCCCATTAGCAGCTTTTCTGTTTGGCTTAACTGAGGACTGCTATTCCTTTGCAAATTAATAAGGGTCACACAATACGAATTTAATTCTAGAACAATTGTTCCCTAAGTGACAGCAAAGTTTGTGCCTTTCCTGATGTTTGCATTTGTCCCTTGACTGGTGTGTAGGTGGTGGCTCTGGGGGACGTTCCAGATGGCACTCTGGTCACTGTGATGGCTGGCAATGATGAAAACTACTCAGCAGAACTGAGAAATGCCACCGCGGCCATGAAAAACCAAGTCGCGCGATTCAATGACCTCAGGTTTGTCGGTCGGAGTGGAAGAGGTATGTGTGAGTCAAAGCTGAACTTGAAACACAAAGTGTTTATGTGGCAACCAGCCCAAATTTCAAAACCTCCAGAAGTTTCTGCGATGGGTTTCCTAGAAACACAGTCTGCTTGTTGTAACTGCTACATCAAGCTTTTAAAAAATATTTACTTAAAATTGAACATTTTTAATAGAATCTAGCTTTTCATAATTGCTTTCTGATTTGCAATGTGCAAAACATAAATTGTGAATTTCAAGGAAACCCCTCAGCTCCTCACTAAAGTGTGAAAATATAAAGCTTAACATCGTGGAAATTCGGCTTGCACGCCTGGGGTTCTCTCTCTGACAATTAGCAGAAGTCTGCCTACTGAGAGCCTTAAACCTGGGTTCCGTGTACTATCTATGCAAGTGACAGTTTCAAAGGACCACTTCCCATCATTTTAAGGACTGTATAGTATAAGATTGTTAAAATGCTGTTTCAAGTAAGCTTACCATTTGATGGTAAAAGATGAAGAAATGGAGGCTGTACCCTTATGGTTGGGTAAATCTGGCAGCCATGTGACCTTCCTATGAAATGGAATCGGGATGCTTTACTTTATTACCTGGGGGGAGGGGTGGGACCCAGTGAACATTTCAGGCACTAACAACATTAAAGACCAGATTATCCAGGGGGACTGTTTGCATTAGGGCAGGTCTATTACTGTGCAGTGTTATTACTGTATTTTGCTGTATATAATGTGTACTTTTTGCCCAAATTTTTTAGGAAAAAAAAAGGGTGTGCGTTATACATGGGTAGTACGTGACCTGCCTTGTATCTGTTCTTGTAATTATTGGTTACATAAAATTTCTTGTACCATAATATGTTCAAAAATAAATGCTATAAAAAAGACCAAGTATCTAAATATAAATAGATAAAAAGTTGAATTAAAAAAATTAAAATGATTTTTTTCCCTGAAAGTTTGGGCCAAAACATGGGTGTTCGCTATACCCAGCAAATAGGGTGCTTTCTGCTTAAATATTTAAAGCAGAAGGAGGCCTGTGTTGCAGGGACCCACTCTGTACTGTATGAACAGCAGCAAGTGCTAGGAGTTCCATTGAAAGAGGTAGGCTAGTTTGTTTAGGAAATTTCATTTGTATAATACAAAAAATGGAAAATAAAAGTTTCTTTTGAGGAAAGTAAAAAGGCATGATAAATACCCAAACAACAGTAGATGACTCTTATATTAAAAAAAATAAAACTACAACCAGTGGACATTCAACCAAGACAGTCAACATTACTCTTTATAAAGGCATTCAAAACTATAGGAGAATCCAGGTTCATTTAGAATTTGATTCGTCAAAGTGGGGACAAGGGAAAAAGGCACCTTGATTTTGGGGGCAGTTGTTTTTGGTATCCTAGCTGTCTGGAACATTCTCAAAATGGAATCATAGGTGGGGAAAACTTAGGAAACATGAAATGATTGAAAATATATGTTTCTAGTACTAACCACCTTAATAATAGGGTAATGCAAAGAAAATTGTATCCACTTATTGAAAGCGTGAGGGATGCTACAAGGTATGAAAGTGTAAGGCATTAAATGGGTTCACTTGTTATGTTAAAAGTCCACGCCTTTCAGTAAATGGTATTCCCATTATGATTCGGGGATGGGTGTTTAGAAAACATCTTCAATGAAGGCTTCGGATGAGTAGCTGGCAGAGTGGGTGAGAAGCCAATAAAAAACCAAGGCCCCGCCCCCAGGTCCATGCCTACGGCCTGGCTGACAATCCGGACTCAGTTCTCCTGGATGTCCACTTTCACGCACTGAGCTGAGTGTCACTTTGGCGGCCTTTCTGGAGAAAGCGATAGTACCATCATATGGCTCCGTGTGTCAGGTTTAAGTTATAAAAGTTTTGGAAACTATTAAGTAGCCAATGCCAGTGACATTTCTCCATAAGTTCAGTTGTGGCTTTCTGGCACCGCACAGTAAGTCGGTGATAAAATAATGAGGTTTGGAAAGCAGTGTGCTTCCTTTTCTGGCGTTGGGGGCTGGTCTCTCGCCTCATTGGCCATTTCTGTTTTGAGTGGGTGACTAATGGGAGCTCGTGTTTACTTGGGTAACAGTGAACTGTTTCCCCAAGGTGTGGATTGTTTGCATTGGGCTGCCTGATTCGTGCCAGTATGCGCTTGAGTTTGCATAAAACCCGAAGAGTAAAATAGCTACAACAAGGCCGGGCTGTCTTCTGATAACCCGGAACGAGCAAATGAATCGAAATGTCGTAAGTGGACAGTGCCCGTTTTGGACAGTGTCTGCCCCCCATGAGCGATAACGGGGCTTCCAGGCTACGGGAACCCAGATCAAACCTCTGGCCCAGTTAGAGGTCTCACGTGTGGTGTTGGTCTTGAGTGATTTTTTTATTTTATTTTTTTAGTCAATACAACAAGACGAAATGAGCTGTCAAAAGGCCCTGTTTGTCTCATAATTTCTCCCCGTAGTCGTAAAACACAGCTTGATGTTACTCATTCAAGAGGGAGTGTCCGCATCACGGGCTGCCAGATTTTTGTGTGGGTGATTTCCTTCCCACTGTGAAGACCGCCAATGATTCTCACTAATTTTGACAATTAGCCCCCATCTTCCACACGGAACCTCTTCCTTTAAAAGCTTCATTACGGTTTTGTTTTGTTTTTTTAAGTGATCTTAAGAGGATTTTCTATCTCGGTTTCTATGTTGAATGTGTGCCTGTGAGCCCATATTGGCACCAACGCAGCATGCAGCGGCCGAGAGGCCCTGGCTGTCGGCTCCAGCACTGGGCTGCCGTTGAAGTTTCAAGCTCTGTCCCGAGGCCCAGCCCGGTGGGGTGGGTTCTCCAAGGGGCCCGGAGCTCTGTTCCCAATGCAGGGGGGAAAAGGAACTCTCTTTTCTTTTACCAGCTGCCAGTCTGTGGGGATTGTCAAGCTCAGAGAAATTGCCAGAGGTTGAATATGGAAGGCTTCTTTTTTTTATGTTCTGCAAAACTGATTTTGTCTGGGACTGGCTGATGTCCAGATACCGGCTCCTAACCTCAAGTTCAGCCTGCAACTGGGAAAACCTGCCCGTCCGGCTTTTGCGGCCTGGCCAACAACATTGTCCCCTAACACCAGCGAGGGCTCCTGCAGCCTGAACCTCCTCCCTTCCCTCCTCTCTCTCCTGTCGGTTTTCAGTCTTGTTCAGGGTATGTCTGACCCTTGGCATTTTCTCGCTTTGATTTGGTGTCGCCACATGAAGTGACCGACCCTGTCCCTTTGCCAAGAAAGAGAGAGCAGCTGCATGGCGATGAGAAGCTGTGCTTAGTACACATGTTGCCGTTCAGAACCACACACGCTTAACCACATGTCTTGGGACTCGCCCTCCCTCCAGAAAACGGAGGTTTGTGATGAAAAGGAATTCTCTTTGGCAAAGTTAATTAGCAGTTTACATCAGCACTTAAGGCAGGTGCTACGGATATTTTCAGTTATGAAAAAGTGCCCTGGCTGCTGCAGCTGAGAGATGTCTAAGAAACTTTAGCAATGAAATCTATGTGCACTTCCGGCCCTGTCCGAGACCTTAATCAGTCGGAGAGGAATTGATTAATCAGGAAACGTGGCTTTAGCTAATTCATTTTAGAACCAAAGAGGAAATCCACCAGACTATATCATCAACCACGCCATAAATGAGGGAAGAGAAGCCGCTGCAAATCCCTCCATCTTCTCCGAGAATATGATTTTTAATCTTTTGGGAACATCACAGATAATTTTGAAAATCCTTTGGAAGCCTTCTCTGTAGGTGAAAAAAATTTACATGAGCACTTACAATAGTGTCACATACAAGTTCAGCTTCAGGGCCCATGAAGCTTGCTCATGGACCTTCCAGGGACCCATAGCCCTCCAAGGCAAGCATCAGTGCATTTGGAACTTCACCTTGACCATGGAGGGCCAGCCTATTTCCCCACCGCACATGGTAGGCAGTTGAAAAAGGTACAGGTAAACAACCAGGGAGGGAGGTAGACAGTCTCCTTGTACCCTGTGCTGTCTCTGTTACACCTGTTTTGACTGTGGCCAGGACCAGTTTGTATATTTAGGAGAGTAAGTCCCAGTCCAGCGGCTGCTTCAGACCCTTGAAAGGCTGTCACATCATCACTGAGCGGGCAGCCCCGTCTCTGTGACGTCCTGGGCCCCTGGCTGCAGACTGCAGACTGCAGACTGCAGGCTGCCACTGGAGGCCTGGTCGGCTCTGTCTGCAGCCCAGGGCTGCTGTGCTGGGCGGATCTGTGCTGTGTTGACCGCCCTGGGAACTTGCCCACTTTAAAAGAGTGCCCTTCCCCAACGCTTTTATTCCTTCCCTGTGTTCGTGCCGCGGACGTCTTTCCCAGACATAATATTTACCCATCCTGATCTGGGCTGTTGCATGTTTGTGGAGCGTTCCTTACTCAAGGCATGCTCGCTGTTGTTATTTTGCCTTGTTTGGGGAGCTGTACGGGGAGGCTGCCTTTCAGACGAGTGAGAGGCGGTGGCCGAGATGAAGAAAAGTGCGTTTAGAAAAGGCCTTCGAAACGAACAGAGACGTGTCTCTGTGGAGTGGTTATTACTGAGAAAGGCCGGGATGACTCACGGTGTTATCCTAGGATCCAAGTCACTCTGTGCCACACAGACACACACAGGGCGGGAAGGAGAAAGACTGCGGGCAGCCCCAGACTGCGGCACCGGTGGCACTGAAGAGGGCAGGCTGGCCATGAGGTCTCTTCCAGAGAAGACAGGGACAGGCATGAGTCATAGTAAAATGAACTGTCCTATACACCACTCCCCTCCTCCCACTTTTTTTGGTTGTGATTGATCTATACTTTTCTTTTTGAAGACTTTATTTATTTATTAGACAGAGAGGGAGGGAGGGAGAAAGAGAGGGGGAGAAACATCAATGTGTGGTTGCCTCTTACACAACCCCTACAGGGGACCTGGCCGGCAACCTAGGCATGTGCCCTGACTGGGAATCTAACCCGCTACCCTTTGGTTGGCAGACTGGTGCTCAA